ATACAATTTTTATTTTAAGGGACTCTGCTGCGAGTTTCTGAAGGAGAATTTGGGCCTATCGAACTGCCTTGAAATCCACGCGACTGCTGATGCTCACTCTTGTCAGGAGCTCTTTCTTTGCGCTGAGATGTACATCGTCCAGAATTTCCAGGTTTTCTTTTTCACTCTAGAAATGTAAGTAGTTGCTGAATTTCGAGTAATGATTGCCCTTTACTTTTCTAGAAAGTTGCTGAGAGTGAGAATTTCAACCAGCTTTCTTTCGATCGACTAGTCAAACTAATTTCAAGAGAAGAGCTGAATGTTCAATCAGAAGAACAGGTACGTCGATCTCCGGGAAGGAGATCAAACTTGAAACTCCAATTTATTGAGTCATAAGTTTGGGGAAACGGCGGGTCACAGTATTCATGCGAAATTGCGCGTAAAACTTAGTTAAGAGCTAGCAAAGCACACAGTACCACTCAGTTTTTGCCTAGGCAGCACTTGGCTGCAGGTGGAAAGCGGATCTAGGTCTGGAGATGCTTCTTGGCCACACACCGGAATCAATCGCTCCCTCCCCTCCTGCGCAAACGCGCAACTATATACCGCCCGCCTTCCTAAACTTATAACCTTGTTTCCACTCTTTGTTCCTTCCTTACCTCCTATGGTGAATCACAGATCGTTCTTTCAGGTTTTCGCAGCTGTGACAAGATGGGTCAGATTTGAACAGGCAAATCGGCAAAAATTCCTCCCAAAGGCAGGGACAAATTTTGTGTCATTTTCTGAAGACTGCTTCATTCAGTGATTTTGCAGCTGCTGGAGCATGTGCGACTTGCTTCTTGCCATCCGAAATTCCTTGTTGGAACAGGTGAGTGAGGACCCTTTGGTAATGAATGACGCCTAGATGCCGATATCTCCTCGACGAAGCAAAGGTTGGTCGCGCTTTTCAGCGCGTTCTTCAGCCTACCTGCTCCGAATAATCTTAATTTGCAGAACTTCTCAACTTCTGCGACTATCTACTTACGGACCACTGGAACTGCAAGGAAGGAAATCTCGCAAATCATTCGAAACAGGCGAAGTATTATACGTTGGTATGGCAAATTATTGCCTTCAATACACCTCTTCCCAATTATTCAGTAGCCATTTTGTGGCGCAATTCAAATCACACAGCACTTCAAGGCGCATTTCAGCTCAGCGATATCGGTGGTGTTACCTCGGTGGGACATTGGCAAACGCGGAAAGTCCTCGAAAAGCATCAGTTTTCAATTGGAGCAGCGAAACTCGTACCAATTCGAATGAACGGAGACTCCACGAGGGAGAATTCCAAATTTCCACATTCCTTGACCCTTAATTTCAAGCACATTTCAAGAAGCGAGCACGACAACTCGTCCGCTGGCGGTGGCGATCCTCACACCGCCGACCGGTGCAACATATTACGAATGTCTTGTCGCGCACATCACTGGACACATCACTTTGTGAGCCCCTCCTTCCAATCGCCAGATGGCAGAGAAAAAGACGCACTCAGAATGGCACAGTTGTTCACAGGGCTGAAAGCATACGATTAAAGTGGACGGTGCACCTGACCTGAGGGTCTTAGCAATAAGGCGCGAGCTGAGACCTTGTATGGCGTGGCCTTCCAATAGTGATCCTGAGTGAGGAACAATCTGAAGCGGATCCCTGTGTCGACTTAGGGGTATTCTCGAAGATCGGAATGAATGGCCTTTTTCACGATTTTGTGGTGGACTGCGTTGAGCTCGAAGTTCAGTAGGCGGTAGAGATGTTTGGTCAGGTATTTGGTCGGGTAATCATAGCTATCAAGCTCTGAAGACTTAGGTCTTGCCGAATCGTAAGTAGAAAAGCTGATTCATG